CAGCTGCAGACCTGAACATGTACAAATAAAAAACACACAAAGACTCGTGATGATGTTTCATGGAAATTCTGTAGAATCTGTTTAGTCACCACATAACACCAGTCTTGTGATAAAGCTTGTTTAAACAAGCCTTCAGGTATAAATGTTTCACTAAGCAGATCAAAGATTTACTGTAACAAACAGCTCCTACATTAATGGAATAAAAGTGGTTCTACAGTAATGTATGATTCTGCAGAGTAACAACCTTTTTCCAAACCCCTCCAGGGCGTCCACAGTGTCCTGAGGACCACTCTGCTCCTCGGTGGGACCAGAAACCTCAGCCATGTTCCTGCAGACATGAACACAAATCCTCCATCAGCAGGAGAAGAGAGGAGAGGAGAATTCTTCCTCGTATTTCACTTGTTTAGAAGAATGTGACAAAAGTGAAACTATGTTAGTGACGTCAGACTTCCTGTACCAACTGGTTTGATCAGGTACAGCAGAAAAATTCATCTCACAAACATAATGTTCTGTTTCTGTTCCTCTACCTCTCTGACAGAACGTTTACACTTCAGAACATTATACAGAAGAACATTTTCACTTGAAAAAACTAATCTGAGCTGCAGGAAGCTGGCTGTAGCAGCTGCTGCTGCTTCAGTATCTACAGACAGACCAAGTGAGTTTTACAGAGATCAGTCAGTTCAGCTGGAATTGACTGAATTTAGGAAACATTCTATTTGAAAACAGATCTAWTCCAGTCTGGAGGAAGACAAACTCGTTTTTTTTTTTTACTTAATTTGATGGACCCCATTTAGACCTTCTGCTGCCAATCCTAATCCTTTAAATYTTTGTTGGGTTAAATACAGTCACTAACCATTTTAAGATCAAAGTTGAGATAACTCAGAATAAAGCAGGACAGATGCTGAACAACTGATAAAACAGCTCATTACTTGTTCTTGATGTGTCATCGTTTCACATTGAGTCACCACAGATCCACCAAAAAAAAAAAAAGGTTTAAAAAATCCCCATGTTGGAAAGTGTATGTTTTTTAACTCCCTGTATTCTCATGAAAAACTCAGTTTGTGTGCAGGCTGGAGACAGTAAAAAAAAATCTCACGCTTTAAAAAACCCAGAGTAGCGAGGACAGTGTGCCCCCTCTTCCATTTAATATTATTATTATTGTTATTAAAACACGGGACAGATCGGGTTGTGATGAGGCCCTTTCTGAATGAACTGAACTAAACCAATGRTTTAAAATATGTTCATAAAACGTAACAACTTTGAAGTTTGAGAACCATTCAAGTGTTGAATTTACAGGCTGAGTAAAATAATTCACTCAGCTCAGGAACCAGTTTGGTTGGTAAATTCAACACTTCATTTGTGTAAAAGTGCTTTGACTTTCCTGATTATTATGAGCACTTTTATGACTTTTACTGAAATACTTTTCTTATTAGTGAATTTTATTTTTACCAGTCATATTTTGTTCATGTAATTTTACTTTTACTTNATCGAGGCTTTCCAGAGACAAGTCCCTACTTGGGAGCGGCTACGTATGCTGTGTTTTGGGGAAATTGTAGTCGGTGAGTTTACTATTTTATACTTCTTCTGTGAAATTACTACTACTTCTACTTCCTGTTAGCTTCTTGTCATCTTTTTCACCAGTAGAAACAGCCGGTTGTTGATCACGTGACTCCCGTGATGCAAAAAGTGTTTCCATTGCAGTTTTGCGAAAAAACACCAATTCCGATACGGCCAAAAAACCACCTCATCCTAGCGCAAAAACATTTTGTCGTAACACGTAATTTTATTTTCAAATTGATGTGTTTCCATTGAGCAAATTTATTTTCGAAATTTAAATTTGTGCATTTTCATGGTCAATGGAAACACAGCTAGTGACTCCTGTCCATAGAGGAGCCCAGGATCCACTGAGGGACTGCAAGGTGTCCAGGTCCTGGAGCTACAAAACAAACCCAAYTCATCAACCCACCACCACCGTGCTCTACAGCTGGTGGTGTGTTTGGGTTTCTTCAAACTTGGAGCTGTGTAACATGATGTAAACAAACAACTGAGAGGCGTAAAGCTAGCCATAAGCTAGTGAAGCTCTTTACTGTGACACATAAAACTAGAAGGACAGTGTACTGCATATATTAAGGGATGTGCTTGAAGGAATAATTTTAGTAGTTTTATGGGAAATGATTGTTGGATCATTCAGACAAATACGATGTACTGGTYGTCTGTTTAAACCATGGGTGTCCAGTTCTGGTCCTGCAGGGCCACCATCCWGTATGTTCTCCATCTTTCTCTGCTTTGACYRACCTGATTRGACTTGCAATGGTGATTTCCCTTGGAGTCAAATTATTTAAAAGATGTAAAAACCAATACTGCCGAGGGGTTGTGTTTCAGTGCAGGCAAAAGAAGACCACTGTTTGAACCAAATCCTTTATTTTCTTGGTTTAATCCATTTTTTAAGGCTTCTGCAGAACATGAAGAGCTGCTGAAGAGAAGGGAAACAACTGAAACATGTGGGATGGAGGCCTTTTAACCATTAAACTGTTCAAGTTAATGAGAGGAGAGGAAGGTTAGTTATGTAATAAAAGAAAAACAAAACAAAGATGTATTCAACATCCTTGGTCTCAGCTGTGTTCCAGAAGTCTTGTGGTTCAGTTTGATGAAACTCTACACACCTCACAGTCCTGTTGTGATGGTTTCAGACAGAACCTTTCCTAACAAATCCTCTGTATTCAGTCTGTTTCTAACTGAAACCCCTCTGAGCACTGCACAGTCTGACTTTAGGGTGAATTTCCTGTGATGTCCACTCATAAGAAGACTGGCAGGTGTTTTATATGGTTTCCACTTTTCAATAATAGTCCTCACCTGTCAGTGAAGGACACCAGAATGTCTGTGTTGAACCTTTTCCACACTGCTGGCCAGGAACAGTKTCTTCTCTAAGATCACCGCTGATGTTTTTCTCCACAGCAGCAAACTGCTAAAAGTCCTGCTTTCATAGAGGCGTTCAATCCTGATCAGTTCATCAAAACATTCATCAGCTCTGGTTTGTCCTGAGACATAAACTGCTCTGTTTCCCACTGAAGCTTTCCTCCAGCAGCTGTAACTACTAACCAACACTCTGCCCTGCTCCAACACATCAACAAGTTCAGGTATTTACCGGTGCTTTTGTGGAAGTTCTTGTTGTTGATGACCAGACAGGTTCCGATGCAGGGATAGTCCATGTTGTAGCGGTGCTGGTCAGAGGGGGCAGGTTGACCGTCTGTACTGCTGGAGGTCTGGACCTGCTGCCCTTCACCTGCAGCTGCAGACCTGAACATGTACAAATAAAAAACACACAAAGACTCGTGATGTTTCATGGAAATTCTGTAGAATCTGTTTAGTCACCAC